TGTATTTTTTGTATTCTACTGTATCCCAGTATACATTGTAAGACATGTAAATCAACAGCGTAAGCATTTATTTCTGGGTGTATAATTAATAAACGTTGTTCAAATAACAATGAATAAGGAAGTCTGAAGAAGACTGTCCTGGATTTATTCTAAACTAAGATTATTTTTAAGAATTGAGAAAAGAAATATTACAACGATCTCTCTACAAGCCACGAACTCTTCTCCGCAATATCCTGCAATGGTGGACTGCAGTGGTGGCAGCCTCATAACCATGCATATTGAGATTACAATGGCAAGAGTTGGTATTTTTAGAAAAAAAGGAATGTTTTTTTAAAAATATAGAATTGTGTATCGGCTTACGACTACTGACCGGCCATCGTCAGTACGAAACAAGTAGTCGCTTTCGTAGACACATATTGAAAAAAAAAACGAAACGGTTCTACTTAAGGATTATGGCAAACAAAAAGTTCTAGAGAGAGTGAGGCTCCTATCTAGTGGTGAAAAAGTGAAATGAAATATATAAAAAGTGAAATGAAATATTCAAACTCGATTACTCCTGGGCTAGTCTCTCAATAACAAGTCGAGTTTCAATATTTCATTGTGCATTTTCTAACACTAACACGCATAATGAATAACACACACAAACACTAACACACGTAGATAATTACACATGAACTAACCCACACACACATAAAATCACACACACACATGCACACACACACACACACTCACCGGGATCAGACGCCCATCACGTCCACGCCGTTGATCCTGGATTCGGCTAAGAATGGGTCACCGTACACTATCACTTTCGCGTAAAACAAAGAGATATACGGATCAGAGAAAGAGGTTGTGAGTATTTATATGTGCATCGACTTTCAAATGTCCACAAAATATAAATCAATGTACATGCATTCAATGAAAGCATATCATTGTCGTCTTAAAATGGCTAAGACGAATACTATGTATTTTTGGAGCTAACACCCTTGATTTGTCCCTAAAAAACGAGTTTCCAGATATGGTACCCATGGAGACATTTGATCAGTATGTTACGAACTATCGATTTGTCAGTGTAAGATTTAAATTAACCGAAAGTATTTTTCCATTGATTTTGTGCGGGGTTTTTTAAATTTATAATTGACACAGAGCTTACATATTAAAATCTGTTATTTAAAAAAAAATGATGAAGTCAGGATAAAAAGATATAATGAAGTGCAATGTGTTAAATGAATTCTACGAGAGAGAGAGGTTTGTAGGTTTGGAGTATTGGGTTTGTGGGTTTGGGGGTTTGGGGTTTTGGGTTTGGAGTATTGGGTTTGTGGGTTTGGTGTATTAGGTTTGGGGTTTTGGATTTGTGGGTTTGGAGTATTGGGTTTATGGGTTTGGAGTGTTGGGTTTGTGGGTTTGGAGTATTGGGTTTGTGGGTTTGGAGTATTGGGTTTGTGGGTTTGGGATTTGGAGGTTTGGGGTTTTGGGTTTGAGGGGTTTTGGGTTTGTGGGTTTGGAGTATTGGGTTTGTGGGTTTGGTGTATTAGGTTTGGGGTTTTGGATTTGTGGGTTTGGAGTATTGGGTTTATGGGTTTGGAGTGTTGGGTTTGTGGGTTTGGAGTATTGGGTTTGTGGGTTTGGATTATTGGATTTGTGGGTTTGGGATTTGGAGATTTGGGGTTTTGGGTTTGGGGGTTTTGGGTTTGTGGGTTTGGAGTATTGGGTTTGTGGATTTGTGGGTTTGGGAGTTTGGGTTTGTGGGTTTGAGGTTTGATGTTTGTGGGTTTGGGATTTTTGGGTTTTGAGGGTTTGGGGTTTTGGGTTTGTGGGTTTGTGGGTTAGTGGGTTTGGAGTATTGGGTTTGGGGGTTTTGGAGTTTGGGTTTGGGGTTTTGGGTTTGTGGGTTTGGGGGTTTGGAGTATTGGGTTTGTGGTTTTGGAGTATTGGGTTTGTGGATTTGTGGGTTTGGGGGTTTGGGTTTGTGGGTTTGTGTTTGTGGGTTTGGGGGTTGGGGTTTGGTGTTTGTGGGTTTGGGGTTTAGGGTTTGTGGGTTTGGGGTTTGTGGGTTTGGGGTTTGTGGGTTTGGGGTTTGTGGGTTTGGGGTTTGGTGTTTGTGGGTTTTGGGTTTGTGAGTTTGGAGAATGGGCTTCGCAGCTCTCTTCCATATAGTATAAAAAAGATCCTCACCAAAAATTATAAAGTTTGAACAAGATTGCTGGCCTCTAGGTGGTTTTGAACCTATTGACCATAATGTTCAGCGCCACTTTGCGGAGAGATCGCGCACCCAATTTGGATCGCTGAGTGGACACGGCGCATACGTACACCGGAGCCAGGTGAGTAAGTGTGCTAGAAGCATACAGCTAGCAGAGCACCGTCTGGCCGTATTGAGGACTACAATTACCCGGGATTTGCGGCTAGGCGGCATCCTGTTACATGATATTATTAGATACATTATTATTGTTAATAAGTTCGTTTAAATTATTTATGTTGTTATGAATTATTTTTTGAATTTTTCCCAGTCAGCTAGCTTATACTTCCATCGAGAAAAGTACGTTATTGGGGTTGGAATGTTATATTTGTTCTTAATAATTAGGAGAAAATGATCACTTTTAAAGAGTGTATAAAGCTTGCCAATCTATATCGGTAGCGATTGTATTACTACATATTGATAAATCAATAGAACTTGTTTTTCCGTTTGCAATATTAAAGTGAGTTGGTGAATCATCATTCAGTAAAACTACGTTATCATTATTAATTAGAAATTCTTCGATGCATTTTCCTCTGTTGTTAGTCTTATGAGAGCCCCATAAAAAACTATGGTTGTTAAAATCTCCTATAAAGAAGAGTGGAGATGGAAGTTGCTGTGTTAAATTTTCTAATTTTATGATATTGATATTATTTTGACAGCTTAAATGTATATTACTAGTACAGACTGATTTCTCATTAATTATAACATTGGCTGCTACAGCTTCGATTGGTGTATTTAATTTAATTTCTTTGCTGAATAAGTTGTTTTTTATTAAGATACAAACACCTCCACTAGCTGCTAGACAGTTTAATCGATTTTTATTGTAACATGTATAATTTTTGATTTGAATAGATTGATCCTTTTTTAGATTTGTTCCTTGGAGGCATATTTTATCTAATTGTTGTTCAGCTATTAGTTCTTGTAGAAATTCATACTGACCTCTAAAACTATTTATATTTCACTGGAGTAAGTTCGCCATTTTTGTAATTTTGTTGTAAATGCTGTTGTTTTTTATATGTCTTCGGTATCAGAGTTTCCAGGAGTTGGTAATGGTGTAATTACTGTATTTGGATTTTTGAGGCATTTTAATAGTGACGTACAGCGAATTTTTATACTTCAGTTATTAACTGCTGGATATATTTCCGTTTCGATAAATAATCTTAGTTCATTTAAATCTTGTGTGTATTGTTTTATTATATCTATTGGATTTTTAACTCCTTTTATATTTTCCAAGAGACTTTTGAATTGAATGTAGTTTAGAGGATTACCTGGTTTGTCTAATTTATTTTTTATAGTTTTTAATTTTTCGTCCATTTCGTCATGCTTTAATTCAATTGTTTCCACTGTTTCGGTTTGGCTGTTAGAACTACTGGCTTGTAAATATTTTTTAATTTGTTTGAAATAATTATTAGTTTTTTTTGTTTGTTGTTTAGTTACGCCTGTTTCATGTTGAGAATCTGTCGAGCTAATTTAAGAGTGTGTTCTTTTGTAGTTAGCGGTATTTTCCATTAATGTTTCGTTTTGTATATAAGTATTATACAATATCGTCAATAGTTTCATAGCTTGGAATTTGTGGATTACCGTTTATGTTTACATTTGAACTATTAAGAGTCTTACAGTCTTTGGCTAAGTGACCTTCTACGTTACAATTGAAACATTTAAGGAAATTAGTACTTGTATAGATAAAGTAATTTATTTCGTCATACAAAATTTTAAAAATGTTTAAAATATTTGTAATGTCCTCTGGCTTAATATAAACTTGGCGTCTAAAACTTGAAATACGAGTATGCGAGTATCCTTCTTTTGCAATGGAGGCTTTCAGTTCTGTAACTGGTGAGCCTCTTTTTACATTTAACTATTCGAGTATATCTTCGAATACATAGTTCGGAATACAAATCGGAGCATTTGAGAAAATTACTTTTTTGAATTTACTTATTAATGGTCTAATGGTAACTGTTTTATTTTTTATTATTAAAAATTCGTGCTTATCTGTAATTTCGTTGACGAGATCCTTGTTGGACAGGTATAAATAGATTCGGTTGTTTGAGATCCTAGATACTACAATGATATTAGTTGATTGCACTATTTCTCCTACTGCACATGCATAATCGGTAAGGTTTAAATCGTCCATGCACTCCATGATGAGGCCTTGATTTCTTTTTTGAACAGATTGAGGTATAGTTACATAACTAGGGTTAATTGATTTTTTTGATACGAACGTTAGAATTTCACTGTTTTGTGTATCTTTATAATTTTGACTTTTTATTTCTGAGGACATTTTGATGATAAATGTTTTATCAGTAGCTATAGAGCAATAATTGTGAGGGCAATTGCCCTGATTTTGTTATTGTGATTGTATAGCACCGAGAGTTATGAGAAGCGATTGTAAACACGTCTACTACTTATCGACTCTCGATAGGGACTGAAGAACTTTTAGTTGTATGAAGAATGATTTTATAACTTGAATATTTCTATAAATTATAATATTTAAATAAGTAATATTAAATATATAAAGAGAAGACTTCCGGTCGACAGCTCGGGCGGGAAAGACGTGTGTGGTGTAAGATAGTAATTCAGGTGGTGATATTGAGATAAAGGAGAGAATAAACAATCGAAAAGTGGACTGGCAGGACGAGTGAGAGGGTAGGTTACGAAGGAGTGATAAAAAAGTGAAAAATAAGGGCGAGTAAGAACAAAATAAGTGAAAGTACGAAGATCAACAAAAGTGTGGTTATGGCGGCAGCTAGCAGGAAGGAGGAGACGAGTAATGGAGAGCAAGAGTGAGCAAACCAAAGAAAGTAGAAAACGAGAAAAAGGAAAACAGTGGGAAAAAGGATATAAGAAAGTTCATGCAAAGGGAGAAAGATAGTAAGGAAATAGGTTTTGCAAAAAGTATATATTAGTGCATACACCACCGAGAAAGCCAGATGAAAGGTCATACGGTAGCGTAGGAAAAAATTACAGTGAAATAATTGAGCAGGCAGGGGAAATAGAGACCGATGATGACGAGGTAGCTGAGGAAAACGAACAAGATGAGGTGGAGAAGGAGAAGGATAGTGAGGGAAGGCGAGGAGAGAATTCGGCGAAAGATAAAAGTGAGGAAATACGGAAGGAGCAGGAGATAAAAGACGCACAAGAGCTAAATGGTAAAGAAGGTGAGGCCAATAAGGAAGATAATGAAGCAAGGAGAATAGAAAACCGAGGGACGGATATAAACACAGACAAGAGCATGGACACAAGCGAGGATGAGAGAAGCAGAGTAGGAGAGAAATTAAAGAAACTACAGGATAGAATGGAGGAGATGGAAGAGCAAAGAAGAATTGATGCACAAGCAGTAACAATGGCGAAAGAAACGATAAGACTGACAGTGGAGAAGTTGGATCGAAAAATGTCAGAATTGATAAAACAAATGGGAGAAGAGGAGAGAGAACATAAAGAAAAGTTGAAGGAGGAAATAGGAAAAATGGTTAGAAGTGGCAAATGTAGGAGGGAGAAAGGAAAGCAGGCTAACGAGAGCGCAGAAAACAAGCGAAGCGAAAAGTAAGAAGAGGATGCGGCACAACGAGCAAACGAAGAGCAACAAGTAAACGCGGACAAGAACGGCGTGGATGGAGAGAGTGAGAACTGGAAGTGAATAAGCTCAACGCAGTGAAAACATCAGAATACGAGTTTGAGATGAAAGAGAGGAGAGATAGAAAGAATAATGTGTTTATCAGAGGAGTGAGGACATCGGGAAGAAGATGGAAGGAAGAAGCATACGAAATAATAATGGGAACTACAAGAAGGCAGTTTGAAATAAGAAGAATCCGGCCGTTGAGAGGAGGACTACTTTTGACCTTTGAAAACTTTGGGGAAAAAATGGCGTTTACGGAGCAGGCGGAAATTTTTGAAAAAATAGGAATAAGTGTAGAAGAAGATAGAACATGCAGAGAATTGGAAGTGCAAAAATGGATTGAGATGGTAGCAGATCAAGAAAGGAAGAAACAAAAACAGGTGCAGGTAGGCTACCTATAAATAAGAATCAAGGGAAGAATGAGCTTATGGGACGAAAGAAGAGGGGGTCTCGTAGAGGCAAATGAGAGAATGTTTTTTCGGGGCAGAAGATAAGAAGACGAGCATCGGGAATGGAGAGGGATACCATGGCGGGCAATCACAGAAAAGTTCTACGACGGGTTTCAGAACGAGTGAAGAAACAGCAATCGAGGAAGAGGAAAACGACAGCTTGGAGATCCAGGAAGATGACAAAACGACGGAGAAGACAATGAGAGAAGCAACGACGAGTGGAGAGATCGACGAATAACGAGGGGTAGGTTATAAATGCGTATCATGGAATGTAGTGGGGAGTAAAAATATATTAAAATGCAAAGATTTTTTAAACAAGTTTGACATTATTTTACGAGGGTGGTCCGATAAGTACTTAGCCTCACCGCCCGATGGCGCCACTCTCGCAAAAGAAATATTCTATCACGTAGTACAACCTTCTCGATGGTTACTGTCAAGATTTCAGCCGGATCGGAGTTGTAGCTTATTTTTGACAGCGTGTGAAAGCAAGTGTGTCCGTTGATTTTTGAAAAATGGAAAAAGAACAGTATCGGTCGGTGATTCGATTCTTGTTTTTGGAAGGGAAATCGCGCAGCGAAATCAAAAAGCGCTTGGATGCTGTGTACGGTGACTCTTCTCCTTTGATGGCGACCGTCAAAAATTGGTTTAACGAGTTTCAACGTGGTCGCACGTCGATTTTTGAAGAGCCACGTCCAGGTGCTCCGAAAACGGCTACCACGGAGGATAACGTGACAAAAATTCACGATCTTGTATTGGCAGATCGACGATTGAAGGTGCGCGAGATAGCTAAGATCGTAGGCATCTCAAAAGACCGCGTGGATCATGTCCGGCATGAAATTTTGGGCATGAGAAAGCTGTCGGCGCGATGGGACAACTTCAGAGCAATGTCTGACGCTGTTTAAGCGCAATCCGAAGGAGTTTCTGCGTCGTTTCGTGACAGTCGATGAAACATGGTTCCACTGGTATACACCAGAGACCAAGGAACAGTCGAAACAGTGGACTTTACCCGGCGAAAGTGCTCCGAAGAAGGCGAAGACTGCCCTATCGGCCGGAAAGGTGATGGCCACCGTTTTCTGGGATTCACAAGGTGTAATCTACATCGACTACCTGGAGAGGGGCAAAACGGTCACAGGGCTGTACTATGCCGAATTATTGGGCCGATTCGACGTTGAATTGCAGAAAAAACGGCCCCATTTGGCGAAAAAAAAAATGCTCTTCCTCCATGACAATGCATCGGCTCACACCTCCGCCGTCGTCATGGCCAAATTGGTCGAATTAGGCTACAAACTGCTGCCCCATCCACCGTATTCTCCAGATTTAGACCCGTGCGACTTCTTTTTGTTTCCAAACTTGAAAAAGTCACTCGCCGGGCAGAAATTTAAGTCGAATGAGGAGGTAATCGCTGCCACGGAAGCCTACTTTTCAGACCTCGAGGAAGCGTATTTTTTAGACGGGTTAAAGAAGTTGGAGCATCGCTGGGCCAAGTGTATCGAACTAAAAGGAGACTATGTTGAAAAATAAAACGCCACTTTTCCAAAATTTTCGTTTTTCTTTTGTAGGCTAAGTACTTATCGGACCACCCTTGTATTACAGGAGACGTGGGTAGAAAAAAGTAAAAAACTAAATTTAATTAAAAAATTAAACAAAAAATATAGGTGGGGAATGAAGACGGCGATCAAAGTGAAAACGAGAGGGCGAGCAAGTGGGGAGGTTATAGTAGGGATTAAGAGATAGGTAAAAACGGGGAGATAGAAGAATGGGAATATGGAATAGTAATAAGAATTATTTGGATGGAGAAAGAAAAAATTGATTTTATAACAATTTATAACAACGCGAAAACGAGCAGAATGGTCAGCAAATTGAAAGGGGTAATAGAGGTGAGGTTAGTTGAAGGGAAGAAATTTATTATAGCAGGGGATTTCAATGTAAGGGTGGGAAGCGAACAGATAAGCAAGGGTGGAAAGAGGAATTCGGAGGATAAAAAAACGACGCAGGAAGAAATAATACTGATAAAAAGCCTATTGGTGTTGTATGAATTAGTTCATTTACTAGACGATTTAAATGTTCCATTATTCTACTGGTATATTTTTTACAAGTTGATTCAATTTTTTCTCTTACGGTCTTAATTTTGACATCCTTCCTTAAGTATTCATTTTTTATATACCATGGTGCATCAGTGATGTATCTTATTGTTTTGTTTTCAAATATTTCTATGATATCGATGTTAGGACTTTGTGATTGTACCCCACAGTTGTATGCCGTACGTCCATACTAGTTTAATTATGGATTTGTATACTAGTAATTTGTTTTTGATTGACAGTTTGGATTTTCTTCCTAGTAACCAGTAAAATTTCCTCGTTTGTAGATTGAGTTGTTTTCGTTTGGTCCAGATATGGTCTCTCCACGTAAGTCTTCGATCCAGGTGCATTCCAAGATATTTAGCTTTCTCTCCTTGTGGAATTGGGTGATTATTTATGTATACCGATGGACAGTATCCTTTCTTTTTTGTATAAGTTACTTCAATTGATTTAGTTTCATTTATCGTTATCCTCCATTTGTTGAACCATTTAAGAACTATGTCTAGGTATTTATGCATTATGTTGGAGGCTGTTATTTCATTAGCGTGAGATATTAATATTGCTGTATCATCTGCGTACATGGCTATGCTGACATCTTCCATTTTGGAGAGATCATGGGTGTAAATTAGGTATAATATAGGACCAAGAACACTTCCTTGAGGGGCACCGGCTTTTATTGGATAAAGTTCTGTTGTTTCATTATTTACTCTTAGATTAAAGATTCTAGAACTTCGATATGATTCCAGTAGTAAGTAAAGTTCTTTTGGTAAAATTTTTTTTAGTTTATATAATAGCCCTTTGTGCTAAACTTTATCAAATGCTTGTGCTACATCAAGAAATACTGCATTACCGTATTCGTTTTTTTTCAAAGGTATTTCTTATTTTTGTCGTTACTCTATTTATTTGTTCTATTGTAGCATGATTATTACGGAAACCGAATTGGTGATCTGGAATTATATTTTGTTCTGTTAGTATTTTATGTAGTCTTTTAATTATTATTTTTTCACAGATTTTGGATAACGTTGGCAGTAGACTGATTGGCCTGTATAAAGTTACTTGTTGGGGCGGTTTACCCGGTTTTGATATAAGTATTATTGTTGCTATTTTCCATACCGTAGGGAAATAGTGTAAGCGAAAAATTGAATTTAGCAGAATGGTTATATATCTTACCGCTTTTATTCGAAGTTCTTTTAATAACCTTGTATTTATATTATCGTGTCCCGGGCTTTTTTCATTTTTTAAATGGCGAATTATATGATTTATTTCTTTAGTTTCAATGCTCTTATGTGTGTAATTATTTACATTATTATTTTGATTGTAATTTAATAAATTTTGTTTTTCATCAATCGTTATTTTACGTTGCGGTGGGTTGAATACGTTTTGTAAATGTTTAGCAAAAGTATTAGCTTTATCGATATCTGTTCTAGCCCATGACATGTCATTTTTTAAAATAGAAGGAGAGAAGCTTGGCGGTTGGTTTATTTTTTTTTTGTTGCTTTCCAAAGTGAATAATCAGTTGCCTCGGTTGCAGTTAGGTTCGTTAAGCAGTTATTTATATTCTCATTTTTTTCATTGTAGAGAATTTGTTTGAGTTCTTTGATTGATCGATTATATTTCGATTTATCTATTTGTAATCTAGTTTGCTGTCAAATTTTTCTTAATCTTCTTTTTTCTTTAATTTTGTCAGATACAGCTTTAGAGTTGGTAAAATTTGTTTTTTTATTTATAGTGTATATTGGAGTCGCGTTTTTAACAGCATTACAAATAATATTATTGACATTTTCAATTGCAATATTAATATCTTATTTTGTTTTTGGTGGTATGTTACACGAAAGTTTCTCATTTAATATTTCTCTGTATAAATTCCAATCTGTTTTTTCATTGTATAAGAGGCTGTTTTTCTTTAAGTTTAATTCTATTATTGAGGCGAAATTAATAATAATTGGGGAGTGATTTGAAGTTAATTCGAGGCATGATTTAGCTGTTATATTTTTAGAACATAAGCCTTTTATAATTGCAAAGTCTATTCAGTCCGGTAGTTTATTTATATTGGAGGGCCAGTATTTAGGTTCACTTATTGATATTAGCGTTAAATTTTCTGTTTTCATCATTGTGTACAGAATGGCTCCTTTTGGATTCGGCGTTATCAATCTAGACCCCCACCATGGATGTTTAGCGTTGTAGTCGCCTCCTACAAGAAAGCGGTTTCCCAGGCTATCAAAATATTTTTTGTATTGTTCCTTCGTTATCTTATGTTTTGGAGGACAATACAATGCTGAAACTATTATTTGACCGTAGTTATCTGTGATTGCGATGTTGGTTGCTTGTAGATAATCATATTTATATGGTTCAATTTCGTCATGTTTATATTTAGTATTTTTAATTATTATAGCCTTTCCTCCGT